GAGGGGTGTCCAGGGAATGCAGATGAAACACTGGCTGGAACAAGCTGCAATGTGCTGCTGCTCACAGCCTTTCCAAAGGGCTTCTTTCCCTTTCAAACTGTTGTTTCCCTTTTCCCCCCTGTTTTGAGCCATTCCATGTCTCTGATCATTTTCCTTGGAAGAGACTGGGGTGCAGTCCGCTACTGGTCAGCAAGAGCCCAAGGAGAAAATATGGCAAAAAGCTGGTCCCATGGTGAATGTCCATGGAGATACCTCGGAGGGCCTTTGCTGTGTTTAAATTCCCTGAGTGCTAGCACAAGGAGGCAGCTGGGACACTGCCAAGGTGTAGTTTTCACTGCCAGGTGAAGTTTTTGAGGGGATTCAGTGCTCCTAGAGGCCAGTGTGGTGGGACATACGGAGCCAGTTGTACCAGCAACTCTTCTCCAGACTCTAACTGGTGGCAGATCTTGCATGCAGAGGGTCACTGCTTCTCCAGGGTTCTGCTGCAGGGCAAGGACTTGAAGCAGTTAAGCAAGAAAATAAGAGATGTTAGAAACTCAAATATTACTTTTTTCTCAAATGTTAGTGCTTCCTCTCACAGATCTTGACCTTGCAGTAGCTGGGCTGTGGTTTGGAGGCTGAAGAAGAGGCTGTACTGTGTAGCTCAGCTTGTGCAAGGAGCAGTGTGACCACCTTATCTGAGGGTCGCATCTGGCCAGCTCTGCTTCCTCCTCAGGGCTGCTCCAAGCTCTGTGCTGTCCAAGGTGCTCTGCTACAGCATGGTGTGATCTCTACCCCACCTCCTTGAAATTCCTGTAGCACCTGTTCAGGTACAGCTCCTCCCAGACTGTAAGGAACATGGTGCCTGGGGCTGACTGTCTCACTGTGCTGCGAGGGACGGGGCACGGCCAGCTGGAAAGTCCTAGCCTCTCTGGGAAGGTTCCTGGAACAGAGCTTGGGAGAGCTGCAGATGGGGAATATGAGAAATTGATGCAGTTTGAAGCCATTGCCCATTGTCCTACTCCTGTCTAACTTCTCACCAGGTTTCACGAGTGCTTGGGTTCCTTTTAATCCACATCAGGTAGAGTGTGGCAGCTGGGAATAAACCCCGGCTGGAGAGGCTGAGTTCATCCAGACACAAATTTGCTGCGCTGTCAGGATGTGCTGCTGTGGGGGAAAGCCATTGCTTCCTGTTGCTTCCTGTTCCCTGTCCCAAAGGTCTGGTTTGTGTCTCAAACCCCTCCCTCTCCCAGCTGACAGGCACAGGGAAGGGGTCCTGCTGCAGCCCTCATCCTGCCACCTCACCAGAACTTCTTCCAAGGGCTGGCCTGGCAGGTCCTGGCAGATCTGGGCAAGGCACATCCATGCTTTCCTTTAGACTGCAGTGCTGGAAGGAAGGGCCCCCACCAGCCCCAGAGCAGTGCTGAGACATTGGGGTGTGGAAGTGTCACTTAGCCGGGTGGGAACACAAGCACAGCAAACACAGGGGCTGTTTCTGAAAGGAAACTATTTTTGACCAGTTTTTAGGGAAAATACTGCCAAGATAGTGGATGTCTTTGTGCTCAGACTGCCCTTTCACAGGGAAAGGTTTAGAATTTCTTTGAACAAAGGTGAAGTTGAAGCCAGCAGTGGGTTAAAGCATGAGCAGAAACAACTCCTGGCAGCAGGGGGGTGGGAGTCAGCTCTGTCCACCTGCCTTGGCCATGTCACCTGAGTCACTTCTGGGAAAACAGGAGAGAATGGGCTGTACTGCCTCCGGTCAGCAGCTGGGAGGGGTTGGCAGCTTGTCCTGGGTTTTGACAGGTTGGGAGGTTATGGCAGAAGTATCAAATGAATTTCAAGAAGGGCTGAACTTTTAAATCGTAGCCCATAGCTACATCTCCCACAGCAGGATCTTCAAAAGCTGCAGGCACCCCCACATCTCTCCTGGCAACAGTGAGGGGGCAGTGGGGGGAGAGGGGGAAATCATCCTGGGGCTGTAGTGCTGGGCTGGGCTCAGCCTTGTGCAGAGGCAGAGAGGGAGGCTGGTTATTTTTAGGGATGAAGCTGTATCTGACTGTAGGCTGACCTTGCAGCTCTCCAGTCTGGTGCACACCAGCAGGATTTGAGGAAATTGCTCCCCAGTTGTGCTATGAATTAATGTAAAGCCTCAAGTCTCATGGTGCAACACTGCAATCAATGGGGTGATGGTGTTTGAGAGCCGCGTCAGGATTGTCACAGCAGCCCTGGTTCAAAACCATTTCTCTGACACACAAAGAACCTCATGTTTTTCTCTTATTTTTCCTTTATTGTTCTTTAGTTTTCTGGAGAGTGAAGGCTCTTCCTTGGGATCACCTGGCTCAGCCTGGCCAGGTGTTGGAATGCACTGCCACTCTGCCACTGCCCTGCTTCCAGTCTGGCTGCCTCTGGATTTAGGAACAGCACAGGAGCAGGGCCACTGCCCTGGTTCTGCTGGCCACACTATTGCTCATCCAGGTGCCATTGCCCTTCTTGCCCACTCGAGCACACACAAGCTCATGTTCAGCTGATGCTGTCCAGCACCCCCAGATCTCTTCCCAGATTTCCAGCCACTTTGTCCCAAATCTGGAGCACTGCATGTGGTTGCTGTGATCTGAGGGGAGGACCTGGCACTTGTCCTTGTTGGATCTCACACCTTTGGCCTTGGACTATCAATTCAGCCTGCCCAGATCCCTCTGTGGATCTGTCCTTCCCTCCAGCAAATCCACAGCTGCTGGTGTGTGTGGTGCCTGCCAGCCCACTGCTGCCTGGGGTGGTGTTTCTGTAGCTCAAATAATGTCCCTTTTATTTTTTACAGTATTAAGTCTCAATGGTCATGCTTGTCCCTCTTGGCATTTCTGACTTTGTGTGTTCTGTCAGTGGATGATCCTGAGGGCAGGGAACGACTGAGGCAGAATTCACTAGTTTTCAAGCCTTTATGCATTCTCAAGAGTTTAGGCACCAGAATGTGACCCTGAACCTGTCCTCGGTCTGACCAGCTGGATCCTGAGCAGTGAGGGGTTGGTCAAACCTGGCTGAGCTCCTTGCCTCTGTTGAAACACTGCTTGTTGCAGTGACCTTGCTGCTGGTAAGATGAGCAGGTTATGCCAGGGACTCAAAAAAAACCCCAAAAAACTAAAACACCCCACCCAGAGCGAGAGCTGCTGTGCCTGACGTGTGCAAGCATGCCTGCGCCAGTGAGGCAAGGGCTCCAGCGTGGGCTTAAATCCAGCAGCATTTCCCCCTTTCAGATCCCTGTTTATCACTAGTTCTTGTGAACAGGCCCAGCTCTCGGCAAAGACAGCATTACTAAGTAGGGATGAGAACATGCCCCTTTTTCTACCCTGTTGTTTTTCACCTTGACTCAGGCTCTCACACATCTGCCCTGCTAATGTGGAAAGTCAAGGACCACTGGCACCATCAGTGTGTTGGAGCTTTAATGTAAAACATAATGCTATGGCATCAAACAAGAAAAAAAACACCCTTGGTATTTCAGTATTTAAAAGATATGAGCAAGGGACAGAAGCAAGTAAAACTTCCTTGATGCTATTATCTGTTATTTTAAGATTCTCCTATTCTTGTGTCCCATTTTAATGCACTTGCTGTGAATCCTGGCTTTTTATTAGTCTCTTGGCTGTCCTTGGAAATTCTCTGTTCCCTTGTGGAGGCTCAAGTTCACCTCCTTGAAGTAAAGAAATAGGACGCTTTGAGGTAAAATCCTGTGCCTGGAGTGATTCTTTTTTTGACCAAAAAAGAAAATAGTTGCTGCTGTTGCCAGAAAAAAGGCCTTTTGAATATGAAATTGTTCAAACCTGCCTATCTTCTGCTGAGCCTGTCCCAGCAATGCGGGGCCAGCACTGACCTCCATCTGCACAGTGGGGAGCAGCATTAATCACAGAATCATTGTGGTTGGAAAAGACATTTAAGATCATCAAGTCCCAACATGACCACGGCCACCACTAAACCATGTTCCCAAGTGCCACATCCACATGTCTTCTAAATTCCTTCAGGGTTGATGACTCCACTGCCCTGCACAGCCCGTGCCAGTGTCTGATCATCCTTTTAAACAATTTTTTCTCAATATCCAACCTAAACCTCCTCTGGCACAACTTGAGGTATTTTTTCTTGTCCTGTCCCTTGTTCCCTGGGAGCAGAGCCTCACCCCCACCTGGCTACACTGTCCTGTCAGGGAATTGTAGAGAAGAAAATCCCCCCTGAGCCTCCTTTTCTCCAGGCTGGGCCTCAGCCCAACTCCCTCAGCCACTCCTGGTGCCCCAGACCCTTCCCCAGTTCCATTCCCTTCTCTGGACATGCTCCAGCACTTCAATGTCCTCCCTGAAGGTCCCAGAACTGATCCCAGGACTCGAGGTGCCGAGCACGGGGGTCGGGCACTGCCCTGGTCCTGCTGCTCACACAGGGCAGGGCACAAGGCAGGACGCTGTTGGCTTTGCCTGTGGGGCTCCCAGGGAGCCCTGGGTCTGCACTGTGGCCTTGATTGTGTCCAGTTCCGTGAACAAAGCACAGGACTAGAGGACATGCTCTTAAGATACACCAAGGGAGGTTTAGGTTGGACATTAGGTGAAATTCCTTCACAGGAAGGGTGATTGCACCTTGGAATGGGCTGCCCAGAGAGGTGATGGTGTCACCGTCCCTGGAGGTGTTTAAGGAAAGACTGGACGTGGCGCTCAGTGTCCTGCTGTAGTTGACATGGTAGTGTTGGGTCACAGGTTGAATTCACTGATCTCACAGACCTTTTCCAACCTAATTGATTCTGTGTTGGGCCACGCATCCCGCGGCCGTGCGGACTGGAAATAGCGATAAAGGGGCAAAGCCCGCAAGGCCTCCCGCCCGGGGGTCCCTCTCGGCCGGGCCCGCGTTCCCCCGGCAACCGCGCCGAGATGGCGGCGGGGCGGGGGGGCGGAAGATGGCGGCGGCCAGGGCGGCACCGCCGGGCGGGATCTATGGAAGGTCGGGCGGGATCTATGGAAGCGACGGGCGGGCTCTATGGCGGTAACCAACGCGGCTGCGCACACGCGGCCCCTCCTCCGTTGGGCTGCGGGCGTTGCGGGTGCGAGCGGCACCGGCACCGGCATGGGCGTGCATGTGGAGACCATCGCCCCCGGCGACGGTGAGCCGCGGCGAGCCCGCTCCCCCCCCCCACCCCTTCTCCTTGCCCTCCCCGCGGGTCCCGGTGCGGGTCCCGGTGCCGCGGGGTGATGGCGCGTGTCTCCCCGCAGGGCGGACGTTCCCCAAGCGCGGCCAGACCTGCGTGGTGCACTACACGGGTGAGTGCGGGGCGGCCCCGCGAGCCCAGAGGCGGAGGGGCGGGAGGGTCGGGGCGGCCCGGACACCGAGGGAGCGGGGCTTGCCGCCCCCCCGCCCCCGGCTGCCTGCAGGGACCCCGGGCGCGGCTGCTTGGACGGGCCGCGGCGCTCCATGGGGCAGAGGGGGCTGCGGGCCGCCACGGGGGCCTTTCCCGGAGAGCGAGGATGAGCCCCGGGGTGGGGATGGAGGGCCTGTCTGTGGCCCGTGGTCATGGAAAGGCCCCGTTGTCCCCGTCTTTCCCGCAGCCTTTTCAATGAAGGGGCCTTTCCCACGCTTATCCAGCCTTTTCGGGGGTGCACCGGGGAACGACCCAGGGGACACCGGGGCGCAGGCGGGGGCACCCCGGGTAGAGCCCTGGGCTGTGGGGCGGCCGGGCCTGGAGCCCTCACGGGCTCCACGAGTCACTCCCCGGGAGCTTTGGGGTCTGCTTCTTCAGAGTAGGGTCCCTCCTTTCACAGCTCTCTGCAGGAGTGCATCCCCCTCCCCAGTCCTGCTGCAGTCCCTTCTCCCTTGTGGGGTGACACCAGAGGTATCTGCGGGGCTGCCCCAGACCCACATCCTGGGGTTTTTTGGGGGAACCCTGGTGCAGGTAACCAGGGCACTGTTTAGTGGTCGGGGTAGCGCTTAGATGAGGGGCTGCCCCAAAGCCCGAGAGGGTCATGTCCTCCTGCAGCCTTCTGCGAGCTGGGGGGAAAGAAGCCAACCTTGGCACCCCAGAAAATGCTTTGGGGATCATCCTGGGGGCTCTTGTCCCCCTGGGCTGCCTTTTGTACAGCGTTGGCTCATTGGCTTAGTAAAAACGAGTTAATGACTCATTTGTGACTGTTTTTGCTAATAACCAATTCCCCTTCTTGCCCCAGCGTTTTTGGCCTCCCCCTGGGGGGCTGGGGGTTCCCCTCTCTGCGTAGTGGGGCCCAGCCTGACAGGAGGGCTCGGCGGGCATCCAGCCCATCTGGTGCTCCTCCATCTCCCCTGTCCTTCCCGTTCCCTCGTCAGCAGGGAGAGGAAGCAGCTTGGTCTGCCCGGCCGCCCCGTTTCCTCCGCCGGTGGAAGAACAAAGAGAGGCTGGCAGGCAGTCAAGTGGCTCCCGGTGGGCCAGTCCTGCCGCCTGCCAGCCCTCCCGGCTCCCAACCCTCTGGCTCTCTGCGCCGGCTCTCCCCTCCTGCAGCGCTGCTGGAGCTTGGCTGCTGTCCCCAGCTCTGTCCCCCATCCCGGCAGAGCTGTTTGGGGGTCACCAGCATTCTGTCCCCACGTCACGGTGCTTCAGGCAAAGTGCTACGTGGTGACTTGCTCACAACAGACCCTCCCCAGCAGCAGTGATCTCCTGTGCCTGGGAGCGGTTCTCTAATTTCCTTTATTTTATTTTTTTGTTATTATTGTCTCCATTTGTCCTTTATCCCCACCCACGTTCCGTCTGCAGGCAGCTGCTGCCCCTCCGCCTCGGCAGGCAGCAGGAATCAAACACCTCCAGGCCCTGATGCCATTTCCCTGCATCGGCAGCGCAGTTCCTGCAGCCAGCCCTGCCAGAGACTGGAGCGGGGCTTGGCTCAAGGGAAACCTTAGAAACCTTTGATTCCCAGCCTGTTTGCAACGCTTGCCGATGCGAGAGCTGCATCAGGGGTGGTGACAGAGTGCAGTACTGGAGGTGCTGAGCTCCAGGACTCCTTCCAGAACCCTGTGTTGGCTCTGTCCCCAGCTGCCCTTTGCTCTGGTGCTGGGGAGATCCAGCCTGTGCTATGCAGGAGGCAGCTCTCCCTGTGCTGGGTTATGGATGCACAGTGGTTTGGGTAAAAACCTCTTGGGTGAAAAAATAGGTGATCCCAGGGTGAGGGACTGTGGGGAGCCAGCTTGGTCAGCCAGTGGCTGGTGCTGCTTCTGCTGGTCCATGGGGCATGGCCCTACCAAAAGCATCCCAGGATGGACAGACAGCCCTGGTCCAGGGGGACAGTGCAGAGGAAAGAGGTTGAGAGAAGAGCAGCCTCTCAGCCTCCTCCCTGGAGATGCCAGTTGCTTATAGTGAGGTTGCACAGGAAATATGTGGGGGGAGCTGGTGGAGTTGAACCTGTTCCACCTCCTTCCTTCCAGGTCTTGGGTCTTTTTGTGGAGAGCTCGTGCCATGGGGTGTCCTAAAGAGCCTTTGATGTGAAATCTGCTGTGTAGGGCTCTTAAAGGAACTAAACCAAGGATAAAGTTCCCTGATGTGCCCAGTGTGTTCAGCACACTTTGGTTTGCATGCAGCAACTGGCATAGGATGGAGTGAGGGAGTGAATCAGTGGGGAGAGGATGTGGATTGGGGGCCAACAGAGTTAAGCCCCTCTGAGTCAGAGCAGGGAGCAGAGTGGGGGTGCTGTGCAGCTGGGGGTCCTGCAGTGCTGGTGCCAGAGGGACCAGCTGTGTGGGGAGACTCTGGGCACCCCACTGTGCTTCAGGAGGGGAAATGGGGGGGGCCATAGTCATTTTGGGGAATGCCAGGACAGGAGCAAGTCTGCCATGGATTGGCCAAACAGCTTTGCCTGAGTGGCAAAGCACACTCAGCATCCAGGTCTCTGAGGGAGTTGAGCTTGGAGCAGAGAGGGATACTGGAGGAACTGCCTTTTTCCAGCAGGATAGCACCAAGAGGACCGCTGTCCTCCCCAGAACCTGTGCACAGTCCCTGGGGCAGTGGTGCTCCCCAGGCTGCTCTGGGTGCTGCCCTTGATGCTCTCCTGCTGCTCACAGAATGCCCTGTGGTTGTGAGGTGTTCCTCCAAGGTGTGTGACTGCCGGTCCATGGGCTGTGACAGCTGTGGTAGCTCAGTGCCATCTCCTGCTCCCTCTTCCCTGCCTGCACTGAGGTCCTGTCCTGCCAGGCCTCAAGAATGGTGGGCAGAGCCCTCTCTCCATCCAGCTGTGGGTGATAGTGGGAGTGCTGGTGGAAGCAGGATTGAACCTCATCCAGGCATCCCTGCCCTGAGCATGCTGGGTATTCCAGGGCTTCTGGGAAGGGTTTTCCATCCTGTCCCAGCTGGAGCAGAGGTGCCTGCCCCACTGCTCTGGTCTCTTCCTGCCTCCTTGGGAGGCTGGCTCTGTGCTGGAGCCCCTGGGCAATGGCCGTGCCAAGGATCAGCGCCCCAGAGGGGATGGAGGGGGTGCGGGTGGGGCTCTGCACCCCCGGCAGAACCCGACCTGGCAGGTTTGTCCCAGAGCTGACTCTGCCTGCTCCAGCACCGCTCGCTGCTGTCTCTGCCCGCCCAGGGGGGCCCAGAGCCAAGTCGCACGTTGCAGCCGGCATCTCCCAGCTCCTGCCTGCCAAGTGTGGCAAAGACCTGGCTGGGCCATGCTGCCTGGCTGGGGCTGGGGCTGTGCTCCAGAGCCCCCACTCCATCCCATGGCTGCTGCAGCCTCAGCTGTAGGGCTCTCTGTTCTTCCTCACAGTGATTTCCTGAGACCCATTGGGGTCTGTTTAGTCCAGCTGGGGTCTCTGTGGGCTCAAATCTTTCTGGGTGGGAGCCAGGGCAAGTGGGTCTCCATAATCCACCTGTGTGAGTTCTGCTCTCCTTGCAGGACTGGGGGTGACAAGCATGGAGCACTGTCTGGGGCTGTCTGCTGCTCCTGGGGCTCTGCTGAGGTAGCTGCTTTTGCCAAAGGATGCTTTGCCTCCATAATAGCTTTAAGATCTTGTTATCTCCTTGCTCAGGGGTAGCAGGGATGAGGAAATGGTTGCTCATATTTGTCCAGAGCTGGAGAAATCTCCCAGGAGGCTTGTGGGCAGAGGAAGTGCCTGAGATGAGGATGCAGTCTATGAAGGATTGAAGCCTCTTTGTTTTCCCAGCTGGCATGATGGGGGAGCATGGCAGCCCTATGCTGGGGAGCAGGGACAAGCTCCCACATATGGCCTTCTCCATCCTGGTTCGGGAGATCTGAGTGATCAATCCCTTGGGCTGCTGCAACCAGCATAGTCCATCAATCCCTGTCTTCTGCAGCCAGGGAGCTGCCAGCTCTGAAACAGTTCCTGAGGCTGGACTGGGACAGGTGAACTTGGCAGTGGGGTTGGGCAGTGCCATCCATTCCTGTGCAAGGTTGGCAGCATCTCCTGCACTGCTGCTGATGCCTCTGCATTCCCTGATCAGGACAACAAAAGGGATGCACTTCTGCAGGCTGCACATGCCCTGGGAGCATCCCAGTAGTCCCTGCTTGCTGTGACAAGCAGGGGGTTGTGCTGCTTGGCCCCTAGGGTTTTTTCCTTGATGGGTGTCCAGGGAGAAGGGTGGCAGAGAGCTGTCCTCTCTGTCCCTGCTCAGCCACCTTGGCCCTTGCTGCACGGGAGGGCTCGGAGCCGAGTCGGGGTCAGCTGGGGCCGCAGCCAGGCAGTGCTACCGGTGCCAGCCGGCATGGGCTGCCCTGTGTCCCTGCTGCCAGGCAGGAGGAAGGCCAGCACACAGGAGCAAGGAGCAGTGCCAGATGGGGCTGGAAGCAGGTTCAGCAACAAGAGGTTTATCCTGGAAGGAGGAAATAAGAGAACTCCAGATTTACTATTCCAAAGTCCAGGGCTAGAGCGTGACCGGCTGAGCTGATGCTCGACACCCTGGAGAAGGGATTTTTGCTGTCTATTAAATTAAAAACTTTATTCTGCTTCCTGAGAGGAGCCCACATGTCTCAGTGCTTGTTGTCCCTGCAAAAGTGATGTATTTTCTCCCGCTGTGCAAGCAGGGGCTGAGCGACCCCATCCCATCTTTTCCACACCTTTTCCCTTGCACACATGCCCTGGCAAATGGAAGTCAATCTACTCCATGCCATCTTGAGGAAGTTTGGTTTTCCAAGACTGTAGAGCAGTTTCCAGCCAGGATAGCAGGATTTTTAGGCTGTTTTGGAAAGAAGTGTTTTGGAAGAGAGTTTAATTTTGCTCTTACCACTCGGGTTTATTCTACAGGGTGCTGGCTGTGTTAATGCAGAGCTGGAGCTGTCTTATGGGAGCTGACTGGTAGAGTTACTGCTCCTATAAGGCAGTGCCAGCTCCAAGATTCCCCAAGAAGGTCACACAGGGAGCAAGGGAGGGGAGGAAATTCCTCCTTAGCTCATGTTGGGGAGTTATATTTAGCTCTGGGGATATCAGCCTGGCTCAGCCCTTGCTGGGGAACAAGGGCTGCCCCAGGCACACGTATCCAGCTCTTGGTGCTGCCTCTCCCCATCATCATTCCTGGCTCCAGGAGAGATTTGGCCTTAGATAGCTGGGCATAGACAGGGCTGGAGGCCAGTCACAGCCTCCAGATGGAGGGCTGGAGTGTCATCAGTGTTTTGGGTGCCTGAAGGTGGAAGCCTGGTGAGTGAGAGGCATGTTTTCTGGTGGGATGGGAAACACAAGATCAGATCCTGATGCCTGATAAATGGTTGTTGGTAGTATTGCAAGGTGGGCAAGATTTTCTTCCCCCATCCATCTGCTCCCCTGTCAGTCCTTGGTCCTGGCCCAGAGAAGCATTTCTCTTTCGTCCAAAACAGTTAAGTGTCATCCTTCCCTGCCCCAGGATGGGTGATGCCACAGGGGTTTCCCCTCCTATACAGGTGTCTCCCAGGGAAAAGGAGGACAAGCTGAGACACATCTTTGACACAGAGCCATGTGACTGTCACCTGCTCGGGCTGCCAGGTCACAGCATCTCGCATTAATGTGCATGGCTCTGTCCCTGTATCACCATCATCTCCCTCTCTCTCCCCAGGTATGCTGGAGGATGGGAAGAAGTTTGATTCCTCCCGCGACAGGAACAAGCCGTTCAAGTTTGTGATGGGCAAGCAGGAGGTGATCCGTGGCTGGGAGGAAGGAGTCGCTCAGGTGCCCGCAGCTCCTCCTCCTCGCGCTCCCCGTGCCAGGCTGTGCTGCGCCGGGAGCCGCAGCGTGGGCAGGGATCAGTGTGCATGCAGCTCAATCCCTATTTTATTATTTTTTTATTTTATTCCCCTGTTCCACCCCCTCGGCGCTGGGAGGTGTGGGTGTGAATATCACCTTCTGCATTGCCACCTGCCAGCTGGCAGGAATGGAGCCGGGCCAGGCCTCAGCAACACCTACGGCACGTCGGTGACTCAGCGGTGACATTTCTGCACTGAGTCAGCTCTGAACGAGCACGGTGGGAGCGCTCAGGCCTCCCGGGCTCCGGAGCCCACACGGAGGGAGGGCTGGTGGGCACAGCACAGCTCCGGGCTGTGATCCCACGCTGTGGGCACAGCACAGCTTCGGCTCCTGCCCGCGTGACACTGCTCACTCTGTGCCATGCAGGCAGCACAAGGATGCTGGTGGCTGGAGGGAATGGCCTGGCATTCCCTGCCTTTTCTCGTGTCAAGGACTTCTTAAGCCCTGCTCTTTTTCCAGCCCGTGCTGCCTATCTATTCCCTGACATTCTTCCCTCTCCTCTGGTTTGTGCAGCCTGGGTCCTTGCTCTTGCCCAGTATAGGGAAGGCAGTGAGGACAGGTGTGTGTCCCTCCTCTGTCACTCACCTGGCAGTTGTGCCCATCTCCTGACATCCCTGTTTCTGTCCCTGCCCCAGATGAGTGTTGGTCAGCGGGCAAAGATGACCATCTCCCCAGATTACGCCTACGGCTCCACTGGCCACCCAGGGATCATCCCACCAAACGCCACTCTAATTTTTGACGTGGAGCTCATGAAATTGGAATGACCCATCCCAGCACCCTGTCCTTGGGTAAGGAGGGGCAGCTTCTGTCAGGGACTGTGTGGATTGAGGACAGCTCAAGGCCCCTGTGTTTGATTTTGGGACAGTGTGGGGAGGTGGGATGAGGGCAAGAGGTGGGGAGTGGGCAGTTGTGGGGAATATGAGAAGGACAGGGCAGGTCTCTGGCTGTGGGTAGAAGTTGCTCTTGGGAGTCTGGTGAGCTGGGGTTCAGATCACTACAGTGCTACATGCAAAGATCCCAGTGTGGCAGAGCTGGGTTCATGTCGTGGAGGTGTTGCAGTGCCGGTTCTTGGTACCTTGGGTTCTGAGTGTTGTTGCTGTACCAGGGGGGCTTGGCACACCCCCTCCTGCCTCTCATGCCGCCAGGGTATGGGGCTGATGGAGTGGGCAGGAGGCTGTGACTATGACCCAAGAGTTGGAGCAGTTCTGCTATGAAGACAGGCTGAGGGCTGGAGTTGCTCAGCCTGGAGAAGAGAAGGCTCTGGGGAAACCTTGGAGCACCTTCCAGGGCCTAAAGGGGCTCCAGGAGAGCTGGAAGGGGACTTCACACAAGGGCCTGAAGTGACAGGGCAAGGCAGAACAGCTTCACACTGACAGAGGGCAAGGTTAGATTGGATATTAGGGAGAAATTCTTCACTGTGAGGGTGGAGAGGCATTGGCACAGGTTGCCCAGAGAAGCTGTGGCTGCCTCATCCCTGGAAGTGTCCAAGGCCAGGTTGGATGGGACTTGGAGCAACCTGGGATAGTGGACAGTGTGCCTACCTGTGGTAGGAGGCTGAAACGAGATGGTTGGTCCCTTCCAACCCAGCCTGTTCTGTGATTCTCTGGGGCTCTGCTCTGGGGTGTGGGGTCCCCACGGTGTGGGCAGGGTGGGGCTGTGCTCCCCGCTGTGATCGAGGCTGGACTGCTGCTCTGAAGGCCTGGTGTGGTTTGTGTGGAGGCTGCTGTGCCCTGGGCACATCCCCTCCTCGTCAGGTGGGCAGGCAGCTCTGTCACACTGCTTCTCGTCTCTCCCCAGGTTTGGCACATGGAGGAATCCAGAATCTCAGCTTCAAGAAGAGTGCACATGACTTTATACGGAGCTTTTCCTGATAGCCCACTACACTCATTGTATAACCTTACACCTTGATTGAATGCCTTTGGTCACTAAGCTTTGCGTCTGACTCTTCCTCCTTGTATTGTGTTTTTATGTCTTTTTAAACTATACGCCGTAAACCTCAACTCTTTTTGGGTCAAGTTCTTAATCTTATTTTTGCTCCAGGTGTAGACTACGTTTTCCCAGTAGCACGCAGATAGGCTGACCTTAGATAGAAGTCATTTGAACAAAAGGAATCCTGTTAGTTACTCGTTTTCATGCAGATTTATGGTGTTTTCAAACCAGAAATTGCTGCTGCTGCAAAAGCCATAGCAGAGTGAGGTTGTTGAGGCTGAAGGGATGCAGAGAGCAAGGTAGCACTAGGATTGTTCATAGGAATTCTGCCTGGAATGGGACAGCGAGGGAGCCTGGCCTTTCCCTGCTCCCTGGGGAGCATCGCTGCAGGCATTGTGGGTTTGCTCTGGGAAAGGAGGGCTGCTCTGCCCCTGCTTCACCCTGCCATCTCACGGTGGGCCTGCCTTCCCCTCCTGACCACTTTTGGATTTAGGGAGTTGGGTTTCCACCAGAGCTCCACCACACCTTGAAAATCCTGTAGCATGGAGCTTTCTTTAAAGAAAAAAGGAAAACTGGACAAGGGGAAGGTTCTGTCTGCAGGGGAGGTGGTGGGGGCTCAACTCAACAAAAATGCCTCTGTCCTCCTTCCCCATGGAAAGGAACCATCAGCCCCCACATTGTTCCCGCTCTGAGCACACCTGCCCATTCTCTCCTGCCACCTGATGCTGGTCATCGCTGCTTGCCTGGTGTCACAGGATGCGTAGCTGTCCCCTGTGCCCCCCTCTGCCCTGCCCAGTCTGTTGGTAACAGAAATTCCCGCCGGTCACTTCCTTCTCCGCCGCACAAAGGTATCCAGTTTATTATCGCAATAAAAACGCTTTATGCTGGCTTTTCTCAGCCCTGTGTCCTGGAGGTTTTTCCTCGCCCATCTGTCGCTCAGCAGGGGCTGGGCTGGGCTCAGGGGGTGCTGTGTGGGGTGCTGTGGGTGCTGCTCTGGGCTTGTAGGGTGCTGTGCCAGGCTCATGGGGTGCTTTGTGTGCTGTGCCAGGCTCATGGGGTGCTGTGCCTTAGTGTGAGGCTCAGGTGCTCAGCCCTGGGAGCACAGTAAGATGCCTGGGGCTCGCTCCTGTGCTCTGTAGGGAGGTGATGGCGGCCTGCTGGAATTTGCATAATTAATTGCCTCACCATAACCTATTAAGCATTGCCCTCACAGCCTCATGCCCTTGTGGCTGTGACTCAGCCCAGACTGGAAGCATGAGGGATGGATGGATGCATGTTCCCATGGTCCTTGCCTTTCCTTGCATCTTTCTGGATTTATTTCAGTCCTTTTTGAAAGCTGGACGTGGCATATGGGGCACAGCACATCACCTGCTTTGGCCTTTGCTGCTGCAGCTGTGCGTGTTGTGTGTGTAGGACCTGCTCAGGCACCACTGTGAGCCAGTGCCTGGCTCCTCTGCTGACAACCTTTGATCAGTGTGCCACAAGTGATAACACAGCCACGATCAATAACACAGCCTGTCCCAGTTGCCAAGCAAAGTTTGTGTGTAATGGGTCCTGGAGGGAGCAGTGGCCCAGGGGCAGGTGCAGCTCGGCCATTGGGATGCATCCAGGAACACCGGTGCTGGCACAGGGCTGTGCCCAAATTAGCACTGCCCTTAATTGCTGCTCAATTAAGCAGAACAGGAACTTGTGGGGCGCTAGCACCCTGCTTTGTCCTTTGCTGTGGCTGTTTCTGGGTGGAAGCTTGAGGCCAGTTTGGGTTTCAATTCTGCAAAGCTTTTTGCTTTAATTATTAACCAGTGCCAGGCAGTGCCATGGCTTCTGGCTGGGGCTAAGCCAGGGCAGGGGGAGGCTGAGGGAAGCCCCCTGCCCTTGGGCCCTCAGCCCCTGCACAACTCCTGCAGCAGCCATGAGTGCAGGTGGGGTGTGAGTCCTTCCAGCTGTGCCTTTGTGGGGATGAGGGTTTCAGGGAATGAACAGACTCCAGGGAACAAACCTCTGTGTCTCTGCAGGACTCTGCTCTTGGTGCTTGAGCTGTTCTTGTCCTGGGCTAGTCAAGGCAGCTGAGCACCATCCAGCTAAAAATAACACCGGTAAATAAAACACTTCCTCCTGGCCTGGCATGGTGGAGCAGAGGCACAGGGAGCTGGGATGTGCCTGGCTGCAGCTCCACAGTGGGACTGGCCCTGTGCCAGGGAGTTCTGGGCTGGTGCCACCAGGTCCAGGCCTGCCTAAGTGCTCTCAGTACCCCCCTGCCCAGCCCCTGGGGACACGGTGGCCCATGACATCCTCAATGCCAGCAGCAGAATGTCACTGCTGGCTGCTGGTGGGCTGGATCCCCAGGTGACATGGTGATGGCCCATGGCAGCAGGATGCCACAGCCACCCCATGCTGAGCTCTGTGCTGGCTCAGTTTCTCCACCTGCAGCATGGGACTCCCACACCTGGCACGTGTTCCAGGTGATGGCTGGAAGGGTGTGGGATACGGGATTCCAGTCAGGGCCGCGTCAGCCGCACACGCCAGGGCAGCGAGGTGTCAGCAGGAGCCACCACCCACGCAAGGGATCACGGTGGGGAACCCCCTTCACCCCCCAGCAGGGCCTGTGGAGCCCAGGAGGGGCCAAGCCATGTGCTGAGGGTGGCAGGAGAAGTGATGCAGTTGGGGGGGGAGGGCACCATGGGGGGGTACAGCCCCACCCCTGCTTCCCCAGGATGCCCGAACCTACAGAAAGCCATCCCTGTCCCCATCCCAATCCCTGTCCCATCCCTGCAGTGCCAAGGCTCCGTGCATTGTTGCCTTCACCTTCCTCTTCCTCACCTCTGTCCTACTCTGCACCTACAGGTGCAATCAGCTGAGGCTGTCTGGCCCCTCCCTGGGCTGGGCCCGGCTATAAAATCCAGGGGCCAGGCAGAGGGTGTCACAAGGCTTTGGGAGCTGTTGGCAGGTGAGTCCAGGGGTGCCAGGGGTGGACTTGGGGGGTTTTGTTTGTTGGATGCTGCTGCTGTCCCTGGGCTGCAGGTGGGATCCTGCCTTGTTCTCACAGGGCTCAGAGCTGGGTCTGGATTTGGCCCCTAGACCATGAGTTTTGGATGATGCTTTTTAGGGCACAAGATGCTATAGAATAGGTTTGGGGGGGCACAGCCTTGGGCACATGAGGTGAAGAGGGGGCTGATGGTGTGTATGAGGGCTGCTCCCATGGGACATCTCACTGCTGTGTCTGGGTATGTTGGAATGGCCCCACTGGCAGCAGCTGGACATGGGGAGCAGAGGGGTGTGATGAAGGGCAAAGGAGCCATTCCCATGGGATATCCCACTCCCCTATCTGGGTGGTGTTGGGATGGCTCTGTGGGACAGGGGAACATGGGGACCAGGACCTGCCTGGCACACAGAAATCCATGTCCCAGCCACCAGGAAGTGGTGGTGGTGATGGCCCTGGTGACACGACCTTGAGTCACACTGGAGACTCAGGTGACAGCCCATCTCCGGTACATGGGCTGGGAGGGATGCTCGGAGAGAGGCCACCCAGTCCCTGAACAGCCCCTTCCCTGTCCCCAGACAGCAGCAGCGATGGCAACACTCTACCCCTCCCTGGAGGACATGAAGGGCCACCAGGTCCTGCAGGTCAGTGCCTGCTCAGCAGTGTTACAGGGGCTGAGCAGACCCCAATGGGTCCCTGTGGGGCCTCACCTCAGAGGGTCCCTGGGGTGGGGGGCACAGCATCGAGCATCCTGTCTCTTGGCAGGCACAGGCAGCAGCTGGGGTGAGGACCCCCGCCACCACAGTGGTCACAGAGAAGCCGAAGCTCACCTCGGGTGCTGGTAAGGTGGAGCATGATCACCTTGTGCTGGGGCTGTATGGGTGGGCAATGATGCTCAGTGTGTGTGTGTGGGCTTAGCTGAGACCCCCTCACAGCTCAGTGCATGGGTTGGGGATGGGATTTTGGGGTCTCTTTTTGCTGGCCCATGGTCCCAGGGGGCTCCCAGGATAGAGGGGGCAATGGCTGTGGGTTGGGGGCTCCAGGAGCTGAGACCACACTTGGTATGTCCCTCAGAGCCACCTGTGCTGTACCCCAACCTAGCTGAGCTGGAGAATTACATGGGGCTGGCACTCTCCAGCGAGGAGATCCAGAAGAACCTGCGCACCGAGGACAGCACCGTAGGTGTCTGGGCTGGCAGCTCCCTGCCCCACCTGGCTCCCCATGCCATAATGGGGGTCCCTCTGGCTCCTCATCCTGCCTGGGAAAGGGATGCAGCACTTCCAAAGGCTGAGGTGCACAGGGCTCTGTGTCCCCCCTGTCCCCACTGACCCCCAGCTCCCCCGCAGGCACTGACCCCCGCTGGGCCCTCCCCAGGCCAGCTGGTCGCTCCCCTGAGCGGGAACAGCGCGGGGCTGCGGCGGGCAGAGATCAAGCCGGGTGTGCGGGAGATCCACCTGTGCAAGGATGAGCGGGGCAAGACAGGGCTGCATCTGAAGAACGTTGACCAGGTGAGGGGCTGGGCTGGCACGGGGCTGGGCTGGCACGGGACGGTGTGTCATGGTGCGATGTGACACGGCGTGAGCACGACAGTAGGCACAGCGTGACGTGGCAGTGTATCACGGCACGGCAATGTGTGGCATTAAATGTCACAGCGTGCCACAGCACAGCAGGGTGCAGACGGCATGGCATGGCATACCACGGTGCGTGGCATGGCCATCGGAGTGCCACCACTCCACTGTGTCCCCAGGGCATCTTCGTGCAGCTGGTGAAGGCCAACTCACCAGCAGCGCTGGTGGGGCTGCGCTTCGGGGACCAGGTGCTGCAGATTGACGGCAAGAACTGCGCAGGCTGGAGCAGTGACAAGGCACAGCGCGCGCTGAAAAAGGCCAACCCTGAAAAAATCGTCATGGTGGTGCGGGACAGGTGAGTGGCTGGTGGCAGCGGTGCTGGTGGCAGTGCCAGTGGCAGCACTGAGGGTGCTCTCCCCACAGGCCTTTCCAGCGCACCGTGACTGTGCACAAGGACAGCACCGGCCACGTCGGCATTGTGGTGAAGAAGGGGAAGATTGTGTCGCTGGCCAAGGACAGCTCGGCCGCCCGCAACGGGCTCCTCACCCACCACTGCATCTGCGAGGTGAACGGCCAGAACGTCATCGGCATGAAGGTAGGGCTGTGGCCTGGTGCTGCAGGACACACCTGGGGAGTCCAGGATGTGCCCAGAGAATCCAGGAGGGAGAGGGATACTGAGCTAAGCTGGGCACCCTACGGACCCCCTTGTTCTCTCCCACAGGATAAGCAGCTCATGGAGGTGCTGGCAGGGGCTGGGAATGTGGTGACACTGACCATCATCCCCACCGTGATCTACGAGCACATGGTCAAACGGTGAGAACATGGGGCTGCAAGGACCCCCCCCACCCCCACCCCACAGGGACCCCCGGGTTCCCCCCACTGACCTCCCTTCCCTCTGCTCAGGCTCTCATCAGGGCTGGTGAAATCATCCATGGACCACTCCATCCCTGACCTGTGACACCATTACTATTGTTCTGGCAGCTGATGCTGGAAGCCCAGAGGGCCTGCTATGGGGACCCCACAGCACCTCCAAAGGAGCTATTTTAGCACAAAACTCCTTATCCCTTCAGACTCTGGGTGGCTGCTGGGTGGTTCTTCCTCTCCTCAGCAGGGATGGGGCAGATGTCCTGTACCAGGGTCCCATTGTCCCCGTGTCCCTGCTTGGGCCACCCCTCCCCAGGGTGGATGCCAAGGGCTGGCTCCAGCCAAAGCAGACACAGACCCAGCGACATTTATTACATCCACCACAGACAGCAAGTACAGGACAGGGGAAACAAGAAGAGGGGGGTTACAGCTTTTTCAGTTCTGTATTTAAAAAATATATTATATAGATTTGTCTTTCAAATATAGTCATTACATTTATTTCTTGGCAAAGCTTTGGATAGCCTAACAGACGTGTACACAGATCCACAAATACATTGCATGAGAGGCGAATATCCCAGCTCCACTTACATCAGCCCCGGCTACCTGGACACTGCTGCTCCCCAAATCTTTCCCCCGGCACCTGGTGCTGTGCTGGTGGCAGAGCTGCTGTCCCCACTGCCCCCCAGCACGGGCAGAGCCGGCAGAAGGGGGATGCAGAGAAGTGTGGGGCACACAGGATGTGGCATGTGCCCCTCTGAGGAGCACTGGACACCGGCTTGTGGAGCATCACCGGCTGCCAGGGCACCTGGCCGATGGCACCCATGGCTGGGGGAGTGGGCTTAGGTTGGGGTTTGGGGGAAACACTGTTAGTTCAAGTCACGAAGAAACCACAGACATTCTTGGGGTGGGAGTGCGGCGCGCCCGGGGGAGCCCCAAGTCCCGCGCCCCGACAGCCCCGCTGAGCAATCCTTGCTGTCTTTGTGTTTCAACAACAACAAAAAAAGGCATTTTTCCGGAGGCCACCAGCAAAGCGGGGGTTTGGGTGGGCCGGGGCGGCAAAGGGCTTGGCTCTGCCTGCACGGCACTGCCCGCACCCCAGCAAAGGCATCCGAGCTCCAGCACGTGGTGGGATCACCGGCATCACGGCTGGCAGAACCGCAGGAGCCCCGGCTCCGCTCCCCGGCAGCCAGAGTCCCAACAGCCGGGCTTCAGTCTGTACCCAAAAAAAAGTGAATATAGTGCAAAGCAAAGGGAGGGAGAGCCCACGGCTTCCTCGGGGGGCTCCGTGCGTGAGCTGCAGCCCAGTTCCATCCCAGGGTGGGGAGGCATCTCCTAGGGAATGGAGGTCTGGCCCGAGCCGCTCCGGAGCTGATCCCTGTGTCTGGCCAGGACCCCCCATCCCCCTGCCCACAGACAGACACTGCACCTGGAGCAAGGAGCCGCTGCATCCCCAGCGCCCCACGCTGCCAGCGGCTCCTCGTCATCACCCGCCCGTGGCAGGGCTGGCCCCGGGGATAACCCGGCGACAAACAAAAAGCAAGTGCGATGGAGGGAGAGCCCCCCTGGCGGGCGCAGCCCCACAGCCCCCCGCAGCCAGAGGCACAGGCAGAGGTGTCCATCGGCGGGGGGTGACGCTGGGTGCCAACACCCCTCTTCCAACAACGGTTCTTTCCCTCCTTCAGGGTAAAGGAGCTGGGGGGGTGGGCAGCACACCTCGATGCACCCACAGACCCCTCGGGCCCTTCCCACCCGCCAGTGCCACGCCGGGGCTTTACAATCAGCAGTCGGGTCCGTGGGGGCGGGTGGAGGGCGCCGGAGGGGTCAGGGCTGGGCAGTGCCTCCGGGGCCGGGGCTGGCGACGGGGCGGCAGCCCATCCTGCGGATGGAGTGCAGGGCGACGGTGCAGCAGCCCCGCAGCAGCGAGCTGATGTTGTAGATGGGCTGGCCCTGCCGCCGCTGCGAGCGGCACAGCCAGGCCACCGTGGGCACCGCCGGCACCACCACCGCCAGCAGATCCACGATGAAGTGGCGGCTCCAGTAGCTCTTGGAAGGGTTGGTCTCGCAGCCGGTCACCTCCGTCAGCTCCTCCTCCGCCACGCAGGCGATGGCCACCGAGGGGCTGGAGCTGCGGGGCTGCCGCACCGCCGGGTTGCAGGGGACACCCCCCTCGGCACTGGCAGCCGCCGTCGCGGCGTCGGGCTCGGCCACCATCAGGTCCGTGGTCCCGGTGGGGTTGGCGAGCTCGGGGACGGGCATCGTGTCTTCCATTTCAGAGACCCAGGCAGAGGTGGGGCTGCCCAAGCTGCAAGCCTGGGACTTCATCACTTTCTCTAGGATGGTGTCCAGGTCGGGCTGGCAGGGCACGAAGTCCGTCTGGATGGCCCGCTCCTGCATGCAGCTGGCCTGCACCCCTGCCTCCACGCTGCTCCGCAGTCCCAGCACCTTCTCGTAGGTGTTGCTGGGGGGCAGGCGGGTGCCGAGCTCACCCCCCACCTCCAGCGGGTCCGTGTGGCCCGGAGCCTCCTCCATCCCCACGAAGCCGCTGTCGGCCCCCTCGTCCAGCGAGATGGTCTGCGAGCCCCCCACGTTGCGGTCCCCGGCTCCCTGGTCGCTCAGCTTGGTGTAGGTGGAGCTGCGGGTGAGGGATCGGGCCGGGGACCCCCCGGCCGACTCGCCGGCGCCCTCCTCCTTCAGCGCCCCATTCTGTGCCACCTCCATGCTGTGCAGCAGCGTCTCCAGCTTCTTGTTCTGGATGTTGATGTCCACAAAATACTTCTGGAGGCCTTTGTCCTTCTCCAGTAGGTTGTTCTTCACCGTGTCGATGACCTGCTTCAGCTGCTTGATCTCCTTGCGGGCCTCTTTCAGCGCCAGCTGGGCCTCCACGCGGTGGCACTCCTCCTCGATCCAGTCCTCCTGCATCCGTGACAGCTGCGTCTTCAGGTCCTCGATCTCAGCATCCCTGCGGAGACGGGAGGGCACCACCGCGCCGCTGAGGGGGCTACAGGGACAGCCCTCGTGTGCCCAGCACTGGCTTGCCACCAGATCACCCAGTAACACTCCCAACTGGGAATAAGGGATGGAGCCAGTGGCTTAGGGACCCTCAGGAGTGATGCTCAGGGAGCCTCGGAGTGATGCGCAGGGAGCCTCAAGAGCAATCTTCAGGGACCCCTAGGAGTGATGCTTAGGGGCTCTCAGGAGTGATACTCAGGGACCCCAAGGATGGATGCTTAGGGACCCTCAGGACTGATGCTTGAGGACCCTCAGGACTGATGCTCAGGGCCCCCTGGCAGCACTGTTGGGAGCAAGGGGAGCACAGGGATCCCTGGAAGTGACACTCAGCCTTCTCCCAGAGAGGCTGCAGCACCCAGGTTCCCTGAGGGCTGCGTGGGGGTGGGCAGGTGCCCCGGGCAGGCGCGTGGCAGCTGGCACGGCGGCGGGGCTGTGCCTAAGCCTGAGAGGAGCAGATGGGGATTAGCCACCCTCTGACGCTGAAATTCAGCAAAAGCGTGGCAGGGACTTAAAACAGGGTGAGGGGAGAACACAGCCACTGCAGGTGGGACGTGGGGCTCTCCAGTCCCCAAATCTGCAGCTCCCAGGTCAGACAGTCAGCAGAGCCAGATCTCTCATGCCAGCAATGCCGTGGTACAACTGTGACCCCGCACCCTGGGCACGAGCACGAGGACAAGGTGCCGTGCTGGGAACTGAGACACCCAGAAGGACCAGTCCCAGACAGGAGCTGCCACAGCGGGTGGCGATGGCTGGTGCTGGCACCCTCACCATGAGCTCCCGTGCTCACCTGTCCTGCAGCCGCTCCTGTGTGTCCTTCAGGCGAGCCTTCAGGTGCCGGATGCAGACCTCCTTCTGCTGCAGGGGAGTCAGGTACTGCTCTGGCGTCGGTGGCTTTATCCCATGGTTGTCACTGCAGAGGTTGTACTTGGACGAGCGCCTGAGGAGACACAGATGTCACCCACTGCCAGTGCTAGGGTCAGCACAGGCTTGACCCAGGGGTTCTAAGGCCTGCTCTTGGGGTGCAGCCCCATAACACATCCCAAAGGAGCCCTGAGAGCAGGAGGGGCAGGGTGGGTGCGTGAGGGTGCTGTGCCCTGGCAAGAGGGGCAGGGTGGGTGTCTTGCATGTTGTGCCTCTGGCAGGACAGACAGGGTGGGCGTCTCTGGTGCTGTGTCCTGGCAGGAGTGTGGGTGCAGCTCCTCGACACATGGGTGCTGCTGCCAGGTGCTCTCCCTCTGTGGTGCAGGGACACCGAGGACTCTATGTGCCCAGAGTGACCTTCCTGGAAATAACTGTAGTGGATGGAGACCCCAGGGTGGGATCAGCCCTGCCAGAGATGGAGGCACAAGGGTTTGGGATGGAGCAGGTCCTGAGATAGTGGCTGTCCTGCCCATGATGCTCCTTCCCTGGAGCAAGCCAGGGAATCCAGCATCTGCTCTGGGCTGGGCCAGCAGCACGTCTGGACCCTCCTTGTGCCACCACTGGCACTGGGGCAGAGGAAGTGACAGCTCTGGCCCAAAGCCTGGGACAGTGTGGAGAGCAGGGGCTGGTCAGGGACAGGGCTACATGGCCAAGCTGGGAGGCACGTGGAGAGCTGGGAGCTGCATGAGTGGCTCTGGCATGGCAGTGGGGGTCCGAACTCCCTGTGTATGGAAAGGAGGCATCCCAAAGCCCCCCTGCATGGTGTCCATTCAGCCCAGCAGCCTTTAGCCATGTCCAGAAGCATTGTGTTAGAAGCATCCATGCCTTGGAATGCCCCATGGCAGCAGGACGGTCATTGCCTCCGGCCACAGCACGCATGACACCTGCTCACCATGTCGTCCTCGGACCCCTCAGATCCTCCCAGAATGATTCCACCTCTGGGAGCTGGCAGGGGCAGGGGACAGGCAGGTGACGAGCAGTGCACCACAGGCTGCTGTGCCTGCAGGGCTGGGGCTGGTGCCCATCCCACAGCTTGGTGCCGCCTGTTTGTGCCCCAAACACACCCGGAGCTCCCTGCTGAGAAGCCAGGGGGCCACCAGCTCTTGCCAAACCTTTGCCGGGCAACACGAGGGGATGGAAGCGAAGCTCCTGCCCTCGTGCCTTTGGTCTGGAAGGATCCGGGTGCTCCTTGGAAAGCAGGAGTGGCGGGAGGGAGCGTGCAGCGTGCAAGCCACAGCCACAGCAGGACGGAGGGAAGAGGACGGGGGATCCCTGGGTGGCAGGCGGGGGGACAGGGAGGGAGACGACACAACAACAGCGGCGGAGAGGTTTGGAGGAGGAGGGTAGTGAGGGTCTGTGGAGACACACCAGCAGCTCCGCCAGCTCCGGCTCCCCCAGCCATCAAGCGCACAGCCTCGCTCCAGCGGCCCCTGCGCTCCTGTCCCCGCTGGGCACCGGCACCGGCAGCTGCTCCCCCTGCCCGGGGACACCCAGCAGCCGCCCTGGGGCCACGGGTGATGGGTTACCTTGGGGTGGGGCTGCTGTCGCTGCCCTTGCAGGAGCCAGAATTGCTGCTGCTGCTCAGCGAGGAGGTGCCGTAGGTGTCCCTCCCGGGGGGCGAGGGGCGCCTGGAGGCAGGGAGAAGAGGCTGTGTCTCAGGCCGAGTGGCTGAGGGCGCTGAAGACTTAAAGAAGGAGGCAAAGCCACTCCGTCCATAAACCCCGCGACTGCCAACCACCACACCGAGAACACACAAGACAAAAGGACAAAACAAACAGCAGGGATCAAAATTGCACGGACATGGCGACGGGCACAAAGGCAGGGCTGGGGGGATGTCCACCCGCTCCCCCTTCCCTGGTGTGGCAGCCCTTGGATGCTGGCACAGCATCCTTGCACCCTGAGGATCTTGGGAACCCCTGGAATCCCCTTGGAAGCCCCTCGGGAGCCCCCTGTGAGTCCCCTGGGAGCTCAGTCCCGGCATAGCTCGAGCCACATCTGCCAGAGCATCACCCAACGTGGGCAGCTCTGCCTCCTCTCCCTGCCCACGCTGAGCCTGTACCTCCCTAACGGCAGTCCAGGTCATGGAGACAATGGGAGGGGAATAAATGATTTTTCTCTCTTCTCTTAACCACTCAGCTCAAGGAGACATTTTCCAAGGGCTAACATACCTCCCAGTTTCACTGCCCCAACCCAGTGCTCTCCACCACTGCCTGCCTTCGCCTGGACGGACGGAGGGGTCGGTCCTGGCCGTGGCACAGACGGACAGAGGGACGGGGCGTGCAGCACTCGGGGAGCTGCATGCACGGACAGGGAAGTGCTGTGCAGCGGGCAGTGCCATGCAAACCCCTGAAAGCTGGGCTGGGGGTTCGTGCTGCGAAGTGGCAGCTGGTGATGGTGTGGGGATCGTGGGGATCGTCTCATCCCGGCTGCAGGCGCTGGTGTCCAGTCCCGAGGTCAGAGGTTGAAGCATATTCACCTTCGTGATCCTGTGGACGCGCGTCTGCTCCCCGGCACGGACATGGCCGCGGTGCCACGAGTCCTGGGCACAGGGAACTGTGGGTGAAGGCAACAGAGAGAGCAGGTGAAGGCAGGAAAATAGCCCTGATGAGATGGGGACCCTGTGGGGTGAGCCCTGGCACCAGGGCATCAGTACAGACCCCAGGGCCACCAGTAAAGGGACAGATGAGGACAGCATCCCCTGCACATCTGGGCTTTGCTTCCCACTTGTCTCCCACAGCCCAGAAATGCCAGAATGCTGCCTCCCTGCGGTCCCACCAGGATCCTGTGGGCACACGGCAAGGGTGTTCTTAATTTGAAATGCAAACCCAAAAGCAGAGCAGGTGCCTGCCCATTGTCTGGAGCTCCTTTCTCATCATGGCACATGCTTCCCCCTGCTCCCAGATCCCCATCCCTGTCAGGAATCAGGGAAATGCCACAGGGACAGAGTGCCTGCAGTGGTGGCATAAATGGGGGCAGAGATGGTACAAGGGCTCTGACCCAGCCATGGAGCTCCCCGGGCAGGCAGCTCTCCCTGCAGTGGGCTTCGTGCCTGCTTTTCCTTAATTAAGTGCAAATCCCCCATTCAGCTGTGAAATCAGGTGAGGAAGAACAGATCCCTGCATGATGAGGCAGCAGCCACTAATCCCTAGGGGAACACAGAGCCTGCTTTCCTGTAAATAAATAGGCCAGATCCAGAGGCTTGCAGCACCTCGGGCACACGCAGGATGTGAGGGAGTGAGGGAAGCATCTGCTCAACACCCGCATCCTGCCGAGCATCCCATGGCACCGCTGGGATCCCCACTGTGCTCCCACACTGCCAGAGACCGACGGGCCAGGGCCCCCCCAACCCCAGGCCTGTTCACAATGGCAGCATCTATCTCAGATTTTGGCAGAACAATGCAGGAGACGGGACCTGCCAACACATAATCGATGGGTGACAGGAAATACTCTGTGCTGCTGGCCCTGCTCCAGGGGAGCGCGAGGAGTGGGACAACAGAGGAGGCAGAACATCCAACTCAGCCTTCCGCAATTGCCACCCCAGGTTATTCTTCTTCCAGGATACCTCAAAGCCCACCCTGGCTAGCCCAGGCCCCTCCTCTGCCCAGATTTGCTGCTCCCTGATCCCCAAACCAGGGCATCAAAGATCCCAGGGCACTGGTGCTGTGAAGTCCCAAGTCCCAGCAGGCACAGTGCCCCATGACAGAGGGATACCAGCACTCCTGGGACACTACAAGAAAGATTTGGGATCCTGCTGCTCCCACCTGGGATGGATTCTCCCAGAGATGACCTGGGCAGGGGAAGGCAGAGTTTGGTCCTGCTGGATCACTGTTCCCAAGTGGGCAGCGAGCTCTGCTACTGCAGCAGTGTGAATCAGCATCCAGCAAGAGCCGCGCGTGGCCTCACGCTGGCGGGAGCATCCTCCAGGATTCTCCATCACCCTCCAGCAGTGCCACACGGGGCTGCAGCACAGCCTGGACTCCAGCAGCTCTCAAGCAGGGATTTAGGGAGATTTGAGAGGGCTGATTCCTCACCCCCTCCCCTGCAGTCCAGTGGTATCTGGTATTATCCCAGGGGTGCCCAGCATCAGCCCTGTGGTGCCCATCATCAGCTCAGCTGTACCTGGACCTTCCCCACTCATGGCAAGGTCACCCTCATGCCACACTGCTCTGTGCAGGGGTCCCTCTGTGCCCCCCTGACACCAGCAAGTGCCAGCACTGCGGATGGCACCTGTGTGTCCAGCACATGGGGCTCCTGAGAGCAGCCCACACAACACCCCAGGCACCTGCCACCAGCATCCACAGCCTGGAGCAGCTCTGTGGGGACACCTGGATTTGGCCTCATTGTCTGGGGACCTCATTTCCTCCTCCTCTCACTGCTGCAGACTTGCCTGGTGCCCACACTGAAGCTTGATGCCTCTCACAGCACCCAGGGTGTCTGGAATTTAATCAGTGATAATAAATTGTCATTATTCCCAAAGGATCAACCAGCTACTTCAATCTCCCCAGAAGCCTCATTGTGCCCACAGGCTGCCCAGGACAGGCAAGGTGGGCAGATTCAGCACCAAAGCTAAACACACACATTCCCATGTGGTACGTGGCTACTAAGGGCAGAGGAAATGATGGATCTGCACTCAGAATTACCCCCATGCACAAGGATGAGTTTAACCATTTAACCAATGGAGCCTCACCAGGAAAGCAAGGGGAAATCCAGGATTAACCCTTGTCTAGCGGGTGGCATCCCTGCCCGTAGCAGGGGGTTAAAATGACAGAATGGTTTGGGTTGGAAGGGACCTTGAAGACCATCTCATTCCAACCCCATGCTGTGGGCAGGGACACCTTCCACTATCCCAGGTTGCTCCAAGCCTTGTCCAACCCAGCCTTGAACGCCCCCAGGGATGGGGCAGCCACAGCTTCTCTGGGCAACCTGTGCCAGGGCCTCACCATCTTCACAGGGAAGAATCGTTTCCAAATATCCCATCTAACCCTGCCTTCTGTCAGTTGGAAGGTATTCCCCCTTGTCCTGCCACTCCTTGTCCAAAGTCTATCTCCAGCTCTCTTGCAACCCCTTCAGGCACTGGGAGAGGCTCGTAAGGTCTCGTAGGAGCCTTCTCTTCTCTACCAGCTCTCTCAGCCTGTTTCCACAGCAGGGGTGGTCAGGGCAATTCATGGACCAAGACAAAGATGACTTGTGGGGCACTGCCTTGTCTCCACACAGGGGGACCAGCAGGACCCTGCTCAGCACAGCACCTCTGTATCTGCCCTTACTACCTGGGAATGCCAGCATGGGCCAGGGTCCGACACTCCAACTTATACCAAATCCTGAGATTGTCCTGCAAACCACCTGTGTGGTCCAGCACCCTGCAAATCCCCTAAAATGCAGCTTGAGGGCTGAGCAGGGTGGACAGTGCCCATTGCAAAGACCTGTGTGTTGCTGGTGCTGCTGACAGCAAAACTCCCTGTGAGTCTCTCAGCACATGTGGAACAGAAGGACAGAGCTTTTACCAACAACAGCACGAACCAGGGCTTGTTCCATGCAGTGGAATTAGCCTGGGGAATTCCTGATAAATAAAAGCAATGGGCCTTGATAAGGAAACAGCTGGAGCAACAGCATGAAAAAGCAGATCCCCCACAGAGGGCTGGGATGCAGAATCAGCACAAGCCCCCACAGTGCCACTGTCCTGGGGTGGGTGACACCGTGGGCTCATCTCCTGGTGGGTCCCCAGCTCCTGCCAGCCACAGAGGGGACCTGGGGCACTGCTGACCTACTCATCACACCATGACAGTGATGGATGGCAGAGCAGTGACAGAGTGAGGGCTCAGCCTGGTGCCCCAGGCTGAGCTGGATCACTGCCCCACAGAGATGCTTCTTCACCTCAAATCCTGCCACTTCCCCACTCCTTGCTGGATCCCCTGGCTGTGTCAGTGATGGACAAACCAGCCAGGTATGGCCCTTCCTAGATGCTGCTCACATGGGAAACAGGGACACAGGACGCCTGGAGAGACCCTGAAACCTCCAATGGTTCCTCAGCTTGTTCCTCTGAGGGTTTCATGGCTGCAGGCTCAAGAGATTGCTCCCATCAGCTTCCTAAGCTCAGCTTCTGTGGGATTCAGAGGGATCCAGCTGCTGCCAGCTCACCCCATCCCCACAGGGATCATGAGAGGTGTGAGAGCCTGCAGCTCACTGCCCATGTCGATGCTCAGCACAACACTGCTGTGCCAGCAGCTGCCACATTTCTCTGGATTTCTCGCTGACTGCTTCCTTTGTCGAGGCTCCCATCATCCTGCCTGCTGCCGGATTTCTGTGTTTCCCTTGGCACATCCTGTGTGAGGAATCTTTTGCAATGGTGGCACTGAGCCCAAGTGTCTGAGAGCAGCTTCACCCACTGCAGAGACCTGGGAGAGGAACTGTGGTGTCCCCATGGGTCCCCTGGGAGATCTTCAGCCTCCCAGGATGAACAAGAGTAAAAGCAGGGGGAACGCAGAGAGGAAAATCACGGCTTTGTTTTTCCAGGGGCCAAAAAGGGCTCACAAGGACCTACCCTGCCTTCCTGACACCGGCTCTGCTTTTCTACACACTAAAAATAAGCACAGTGCTGGATGTGGCCAACAACCAGCAGCAGACGTGGGGCAGAGCTCTTGTTCCTGGACAGTGGCAAGGCCAGAGCTGCTTGCACTGGAAAAGGGACTGGGATACAGCTGGGTTGCAGTGGGAAGGAGCAGGATCCAGCAGCCAGGGCTGGCAGAAGTCCTGGTGCAGGAGGAGGTCAGCACTGAGGCCACCACCTGGGCAGCTGGGGGCTGCCATGACCATGTCCACTCCTCCTCCTGCAATGGGGGTTTTTCGGGATACAGGGATTGCTTTGCTTTTGCTCCAAGAAGATTCCAAGGATGTAGGAATATCTCCAGAAGCTGGAAGCCTCTGCCCCAGTATAGAGGGGTTCATCACAAAGCTTCACCTGGGTCCCAGGCAGAGGGAGATCATGGAATCACAGACCCATTTAGGTAGGAAAATACCTTTAATACCTTCAAATCCAACTGCTAACCCGGCACTGCCAAAGCCAACACTAAATCCAGCTCAGGGCAGAGCCAAGTGCTCGGGGCACAAGCAGAGACAAACCCCATGGGGTGTTTATGCAACACCACCAGAAAAATCAATGTTGCTAAGAGTGGTTGTATCCCATTCCAAAAGGCAGCAGCGTCTCCTTTTATTCTCCTGTTTGTTATAAAATGCTGAGTTGACATCCAGAGATTACAGGAAAACAGACACCATTGGGAAAGCTCAGGTTATGCAGCTCATCACTTTTCCAGCTGACCTGGCTGCAACTCTGAATGGGGAGGCAGCAATTCCCAGCCCTCATTAGCTAAAAATAAGGTGCTTGACCAGAGGGCAAAGGCTGGGGTCTTGTTGGGGACTCTGGAGCCAAAGGGAAATGGGAGAAGAGCTCCATGACAAGTGCTGTAGCAGCATGAGAGCAGGAGTGGGATACTCAGGATGAAGACCCCGTGGTCTCACCCTGGACCAGGAAGGTCAGCAGGATGGGATGGAGGTGACTTCCCACTGCACAGCCCATCCTGCAGAGGTGCTCTGGCAGGAGCCGAGCTGAGCTGTGTGAAGCAGAAGGAACAGCCCACTCCTTTGAGATACAAAGGCAAAAACCTGGAAGACAAACCCAGCTTCCAGTGCAACAGCTCCTCCTCCCCTCCGTGCCTCTCGCGGCGGAAGCAGGTCTCCCCTAGCCACCATCCACCTTGAGCGAGGGCTGGGAATGACGGCGGCGCCGGGGGATTAGTCCTGGCCTCCACACGGCTGGAATGGCCTACTTTAACCACACATTTAACCACACACCACATCTCCTGCCTCAGCCCGCTGCAGCACTTCCGAGATGGGGGCACTGCCCCTCTGACCTCCACCCCGGGACCCCTGGCCACCAGGATTTGCATCTTCTGGCACAAGGTCATAGCACAACGTGCCTGTTGCCCAAAGAGGGTGGGAAAACCGGGATTTTATAAGCAGAACAGGCACCCAGCAGTGGGTTCTGTGCATCAGCCACAGCGTTGACCTTGTGGGGAGAACAGAGCACCCAGCTCATCAACCCGCTTGGGTGTTCCTGTGTCCCTTTGGAGACGGAGCATGAAGCCATTAAATAATAAAATGTCAATTGCAGAGCAGCCCCAGCTCCTGCAATGCCCCATGGTGCCAGAGACACTTTGATATGCTGCACAAGCATGTGTGGGGCTGGTGCTTGAAAGGAGAGTCTGGTGCATGAGATGTGGGTTTGGGGAGTGCAGGGGGGATTTGGGGTGTGCAGGGACAGTCTGGTGCATGTGATGTGGGTCTGATCCATGTGACAGGGGATTGGCGGATGCAGGGAGAGTCTGGTGCATGAGATGTGGGTTTGAGGCGTGCAGGGAGGGTCTGATGCATGTGACAAGGGTCTGGTGCATGAGATATGGGTCTGGTGCGTGTGATGTAGGATGGGGTCATGCAGGGAGGGTCTGCTGCATGAAATGTGAGTCAGGGTTGTGCAAGGAGGGTCTGAGGCATGCAGGAAGGGTCTGGTGCATGTTTAATAGGTCAGGTTCATGAGATGTGGGTCTGGCGAGTGCAGTGCAGGTCTGGTGGGTGCAATGCATGGCTGCTGCTGCTGTGGGTCTAGTGCATGTCATATGGGTCCAGGGCTGTGAAGCAGGACCGGTGGGTGTGGTGGGGGTCCAGGTGGGTTTGCAGTGCGGGTCAGGGTACATAAGATATGGGTCTGATAAGTCAGACGTGGGTCCATTGCGTGCCACGGGGGTCCAGCGCACGCCGTGGGCTCTGGTGCAGCAGTACGGGTCTGGTGTGTGCCGCGGGGGTCTGGCACACGCAATGCGGGTGCGCTGCGGGCCCGATGCGTGACCCGCCCCGAGCACCCTGTGTCCCGGGAACCCCCCCGCTCCCGCTCCCCCCGATGCAGAGCGGCGCTGGCAGACCCGGCTGCGCCCCCCGCCTCTCCCCACCCCGAATGTGCAGCCAGAAAGGGATGAGTCACGGCGGCCGCGGGGCCCCGCACCGCGCCCCCCGCACCGCGCCCCGCACCGCTCACCTGCGCGGGGCCCCGCCGATGTCGGGGGCGGCAGCGCCGGGGTGGGGGACTCAGCGACCTGCCGGGGAAGGGAGAGAGCGGACGGTGAGCGGCGGCGGTGCGGGGCCCGGTGGGGTACCCGGTGCGGTGGGGTACCCGATGCGGTACCCCCGCCCCACCCCGCACCCCGCGCCCTCCCCCGCCTCCATCACCTGCGCCGGCCTCCATGGGTGCGGCGGGGCGGCCGGGAGCGCTGGAGGGATGAGGGAGGGATGGAGGAGGGAGGGATGGAGAAGGGAGGGAGGGAGGGAGGGATGGATGGATGGAGAAAGGAGGGAGGGAGGGATGAGCCGTGCAGCTGCGTAATTTGCTCCCTCCTCTGCGATCTTAAAGCGACGGCGCCGCGGGTGCCTCTCCCCGCCCCCCCCGCCGGGTTTCCCCCCGTTTCTATGGCAACTCCCCTCTGCCGGAGCGGCACAACCACCTTAAAGAAAGAAATCAGCCGGGTTTTGGGGTCCCTCCCCGTCTGCGAAGCCCGGCGGGCCGGGTGTGCCCTCCGCCCGGTGGCCCTGGGTTCCTCGCCCGGCGTAACCTCGGAGGAGGAGGAAGGGGAGGGGGGAGCCGGGGCGGCCCCGCGCTGCAGCCACCCGGCCCTTGGAGTCCCCCCCAGCGTCGTAGTTTTAATTTTAAGCAGTCCAGCTCTGAGGAGATCCCTGCCTCTAATTAGTGACGCACTTTCATAAAGTCAAGTCATTAAATAACCGGAATTCTGCGCCCCATTTCAATCCCTGTGGCTCAGCCCTAATCGCCTGGGCTGGGGTGGAGAAGCAGGAACAGGCACCCCAAGCTGCTGTCCCGGGCTGTGGCTGGCGTCCGGGAGGTTTGGGAGATGAGGCTGTGCTGGCACGGCACGGCACGTCCCGTTCTCCAGCACAGCCCGGTTACTCATGGCACTTCCCACACGCTTCCTGCTGTAACTGTCAAGATCAACCTTCCCAAATTATTTGCTGAGGAAACGTCTCTGGAGCCCCCGCGCCACGTCCTGGAGCCTGTGCGGGGAGCAGCAGGGCACCGGCTCCTGGAGCGCTCCGTGCCCGCGGCCAGGAGCGCCCAAGGTCGGCTGCGGACACCCCCGTGGGGACCGGGAGCGTGAGAGATGCACATGTGCCTGTGCTGCAAACAGAACATCAGCGTGTATGGATCCACATACGGCCTTATGGAGGGAAATGTTAATGTGGAATATATTCACAGAGCAGAACCTGCACCCAGGTTGGGTCTGGACCCGGGGCCCATTGTGCTTCCCAGACATTCCCAGCTCCCTTTGTCACTCCCCCATGGTTAATCCAGAGTTTTGACAAACCTGTTTGGTAAATACATGTCAGTCTTGCAGCGCTATTTCCTGCATGATTTGTACCTCATATATCCCGACACACAGACTGTTTTCAGTGTGTATATATATATCCTGCCTCCCATTTATTCCTGCCTGCCTCCAGCTGCCTTTTGTTTCTTTCTTTCCCAGTGAATCCAATGCACAGCCTCTTTCCTTGAAAGGAAAATTAATGAGTTATCACATCTGCTGCCACTGGAGCAGCTCTGACCATGTGGCACAGGCAGAAGCTCTGCTGTGAGATGCAGAGTCATTCCTGATGGCTTTCAGGAAAGAAAAATGGTTTCTCCTTCCCTCTGCAGTCTGCAGTGCTTGGTCTCCCAGGATACTCTGACCTGAGGAGATCTCCTGCAGGGAGATGGGGCCTGCTGCTGGGAGAGGTTTGCACCGAACCCAAACCCTTTTCCCAGGTCAGCACCTGGCTTTGGAAATGCCAGACCTGCCATAAGGAAAAGATGAGCTGCCCTTGGTTCCAGTCTCGGCCTGAGCCATGCTCCTGTTCCCACCCAAAAATAGCATTTCTTTTACAGAAAACAGAGATGTTTTTACCATACAGGGATGCTTTTCGCTTCCTTACACCCAGAAAAGGAACCCCTCAGAGAACAGCAGCAAAGGCCCTTATTTAATCAAATATTCCTGTTCAGAAAGGACATTCAGCTGGAACACCCCCACACCCACCCCATGCCATCCCCTGCCCCACACTGGGACTTCACCTCTTTTAAAGCCTTTTTATTCCCTTAAACAGACCCTCAAAACCAAACCTCCCTGAATCCTGTGGGACAGGAACCACACACATTAGTGGCTCCAGAGAAACAGGGGTGTCACTGAGGTGAGTGAACACCTGGAAATCAGGTGGCAGTAGCACCCATCCTTTTCCATTTTAAGTAAAATCACCAAGTCCCTGACTCCAAAGATGTACCCACAGGATTTGATCCTTCAGAAGAAACACCAACAAGCAAAGGAAACATCTGTTTTTTATTGACTCCACATGAAGGAAAAGTGATGTCCCCACAGCATCAAAGCACCTGAGTGGGGCACAACCATCCCTCCTCCAGGTGGGAGGCTGCCAGAAGCCAAGAGCTTCAGAAAAGAACAGTAAAAGGGATAAAATTTATCCTAAATTAGATAAAAATGCAAGGAATTAATAATATTTCAGTTAACATCCATTTTTAAATAGGTCTACACATGAATAAAGGTGTTAATAAGTTAAAAAGCTCTGTGAAATCTGAAATTGCAGGATTTTTATGAAATAGAATTTCTTGCTGCAGCTTCTGGGCTCTTCTAGGGCCAGTGTAACCTCTGTCTGCCTGAACACATAAAAGCAACACTGGAGACAGTACCCTGCCAGATCTTAAAACATGAAATACTGAACATTCTTTGACAGGAACAATTTTAAATAGTCTAAGTTTTTTTTGCTACAGAGAGTAAACAGGTAACTCTTACTGATGGTATTCAATAATTAACAGACACAAGCCTTGTCAAAAGCAATTTAAGTTCCAAAGGTAGTCTCTGAGAAAGGTTTTGAAGGACTTTTATAAAAACCCTTCAAGGACATTTATAAAATTCCTTTGAGGATTTTTATAAAATCCTTCACAACACAAATATCTTATGTAGAATATATATTTTAGGGGTATTTTATTAATGTATTGTATTACTCATCATGTAATTATAATATTAATAATACTATAAATAACTATAAATAATTATACTATAAATATCTCTATATACTATACTATATATACTATAAATAACTGTAAACATTAATAATAAGCCCTGTATTGATCACCTGAGGCAGGACCCCTTCACAAGCCATTACTGGATGCTGTAGAAGACTGGGAGCTCTGCTCATCTCCCACAGTTTGACAAGACATTCCATCCTTTTTCCAGGAAAACCATGCTGGAAAATGCAGTCTAAGCTGTATTTTGATCAGTTTATCTGATCTTGTTAAACATGGGTCCAGCAGTGGCTGTGAGGTCAGCAAAGGGCTCATGCTGCTGCAGCTCAAGGACCTGCTGCTTCTTCAGCACCAGAAAGAGGTAAAACATGGCTGCAGCTTCTTTCCGGTTGTTTCTCTGGCAGAGCTCCTGGAAACTGAAGGAACACACACCTGATCTCTTCAGTTGCTGCGTGAGGGAAATGAGAAATCAGTCAGGTCAGCTTCTCTACCAGTAAAACTGGAGCCCATGGAGTCCAAACAGAGAGCACTGCATAGAGGGAATATCTCTGCCTGAATGCCTCAAATGGGATCCAATCTCCATGGAATCATGGAAGCACACACTGGTCTGAGTTGGAAGGGACCTTAAAGACCATCTCATTCCCCCACTCTGGATACCTTCAACTAGACAAGGTTGTTCCAAGACCCATCCAACCTGGACTTGAACACTTCCAGGGACAGGGAGTCCACAACCTCTCTGGCTGTCTTCCATCTGTGTTTATAGAAGTGGCTCTTAACATTTTAATGCCATAACAATGTTGGTACTTACGTGTGTTACTAAAATCTACAATTCCATCAAATTCCATTACAGTGCTGGAGTGCTTCCATCATGCTTTGTGATTGATAACAATAAATATCCTTGAGCAATTGTTTGGTTTCAGAGGTATCTCTTGTTTTTTAAAGGCTGTACTCAGGTGTAAATATATATTTATTATTTGCACAGAACATTTGAAATATGCTCAAAAAAAGAAGAGCATTCAGAAAATTCTCATAATTCCAGCAGCTGTGGAAAGGAACACCACACATCAAGCACCCAGAATCCAGATTTTCCACAGAAATACCAAAAAAATGCACATGGTGCAAGTGAGAGGCAGAGGCACAAATGGACAGTAGAAGGAAGAGCTTTTCTAACGTGGTCCAGCTGAAATCAACACCAGCTTTTGGTATCTATTAACAAAATCCAGCACTGGTACCTGTAAAGTTTTTTGTAACCGAAGAGTTCTTTTGCCCCATCTTATTTCTTCACTGTCTTTCCTGGTCCTTGTTTGCTCCTTGAGAGGAAGGAAACAGAAGCTCAGTCAGGGTGTGTAAAAGGTCACACACCATGAAAAAAAGGACAGGAGTTCCAGCCTGAGTGAAAATCCAGATGGAGCTAGGCATCTGGATGGCCAGACTAAGGGAATCTGGAGCCTCTGACACCTCTGAGCTCACACAAGGTTGTGTGAAACAAAGGAAAGAAAGATTTGGACCTGGGTGCTTTGTGCTACAGAGCCAGGAACTGCCCTGTGGGACTGGGATTCTGACAGGATTTGTATTGGCCAGGGGCTTAAAGAGATGTTCAAATATTTGGCTTGGGATTTTGGACTTAACCTCTGAAGTATGCAGCTGACTGCCCTGGTTTCAGAGTACCTGAGCATCCTCAGAGCCAGCAAGGTTGAAATTATTTCCTTCTCACAAGAAGCAAAACTCCCTGTAAGTTCATGATGCTATTTTTTTCCTTTTTTTTTTTTAAAGAAACAGAGTTCTCTTCTGAAACAAGCCAGGGCCATCAGCTTAGGACACACACCTTTGGCACCTCCACCTGCTGTGCTTCATCTTCCTGGCCCAGGGAATTTTTTGAGCTCTCAGAAAAAGCTGCTCCGTTCTCCTGTGAGCACAAAAAAGACAATCACTAGGCCTGACCATTTATGCACACAGTGCAATTCTCATTACACAGTTCTGCTCAATGAATTTATTGTAATTAAGTTTTTCAAAATTAGTTAATAGCTGCTATTTCTACCAATGTCTGTCCTTAAGCTTAATTTCTTTCATCAACATCAAGCAAGGACCTTGCTGTAGGATTTATCCTACAGCTGAATCTACACCTATGGGCAGAGTTGAGGCATGGAGCGTGTGCTTTCTGCTGCCATGAGCCCAGTTTCATCACTTTTCAACATTAATGAGCCTCACAGTCTCTAAAGAATGCACTTTAGCATAAGTGAAGATGGAAGAGATATTGCTTAAGTATTTCCTCAATATGAGACACAAAATGTAAGTTTTATCCTTTATAAAAATTATATTTGTCTCTTCAGTACAATATTTCCTATTTAATATTAAGCTCTCATTCATATTTAGTGACTAAACTGTAATCTATGCTGATTAATAAACATTTTAATTAATCATTCATTCATTGTGGGAGTTTACCAAATAATAAATAAGATTTCATCACACAAGCTACTTAATGCTCTCTTGACTGGTTTTAGCATCCTTTCCAAACATTAGTAATTTCTTAATATGTTTTAAATGGAACCTTAGCAAAAAGTGGAACCAATAGACACACTTAGGTCTTTAAAACTGAGGAAAACTGCTCACTATAATTTCACCACAGTTCTCATTGGTTTCATTTCTGTCACTCTGTGATGTCAATATAAAGGAATCATTTCTAATTTTTCTCTCAGTCTCAGAATGAGCTGGTTCCTGCAGGTAACTTGGCTCTTCTACTGGCAGCATCTCTGTATTAATAGAAAACCAAGGTTGAAGAGGCAATTACCATGAATCACTGTCCTTAAAAAAAACCCACTGAAAACCAAAAATCACACCCAAGTTCACAGTCTTTGAAAGGAAAAGCCACAATAAACAAATATTGAAGAAACATCATTCCCAACACGAGCATGGAACAAGAACCTCCCAAGGCAGGTTTTCCTTTTCTGAAAGTTGACCTTTATGGACTCACAGGAGGTGGGTTTGTTAATGAATTTTTGAGGCAGGTTTGGTTCCCAGCAGAGCAAAGGAGTGAAAGTGGATACATCCTTCTCAGAAGATCTAACATGGGACATTCCTTCTTGCCTGATATTAACCACATACATCTTCCAGATACAAGCAGAACTATTTACATTAATTTGGAATTTTGGAGAGCAGTTTGATTAAGCTTAGAATAAGAAGGAAGCTTTTTTTTTTTTTTAATTATATTTAAAAAATAATCCACAAGCAACATTACCCAAATTTGCAGTCTCAGAGATAATTAGAGAAACCAGAGATGAAACCAAAAATATCTCTTTATGCCACAAGGAAGAAAAGACTTGGATTTAATTTAATTTCTAAGAAACAAAAGAACAACAAAGTAGTAATTTGTGGAATACTGCACACAAACACCTCTTATGTCTCTCAGACATTATGCAGAATAGAAAATACTTTCTAACAGCTAATTCTGCACAACAGAATTAAAATATTACCTGTAGTATCTTGCTCTTTTCTCATTTCTTTCATTTCAGACGTCTTCTGTATTCCATTTGCTCTCATCTTAAATCTGTCAGCCTTGAAGCTTTTTTCAAACAACTGAAAATAATTATTTTTTCTATGTTTGCTTTCAGAATATCATGTCAGATTATTTGCAAACATCAACACAAAGATATGAATATGAACTGTATGTTAATGACTGCAACCCAGAATTTCAGTATTTGAATTAGGTCACTCTGAAAATCTGCAATTTTTTTTTGTTTGTTTGTTTTTAAGCAATAGCATTCTGGAGCTCCAACATGAATTCCATGAAAAAAACATCTTAGAAGAAGCTTAGATGATTTTTCTTGAAACCAGCCAGTAAGGAATGATGAAAGAAAGAAACATCTGCAGTTTTCATCCTCTTAAAGAGCAAGTTGTAATTCTGCAGCTGGACTCTAAGTGGTGAAGCTGCGCTGCTGCAGTGAGCCCTTCCAAATCCATTACAATATTCTAATAATAATGCCTGATGTACTTTTAAAGTAAATATAAACAAAAGATGTCTCAAATTGATTACAAAGAGGAAATATACCAGAAAACAATACAACAAAGGAGAAAGTATAAAAGAAATTGTCAGGAAAGTAAAAAGTTGACTCTCAGTATAAGACCACTCAGGTGCCTGTGTGTGAAATGAAACATCAGCTCTCATGTTCCTTTTGTAATGTTTCACTTGTTGGAGTGCAGGAGGTTAAGGCTGTGACCCCACAGGTGATGAAACAATTAGTGGTGAGTGTGCAAACCATCAGGTGTCCAGCTGGCCTGTACTGCAGAGCAATGCTCAGGGCACACCTGCAGCCATCTCCAAGTTTGGATCAAAGTCTGCAAAACCTGTCTCAGTCAGATGCCAGCTCTGCAACAATCCTGGAACCTACACGGTGGCATAGACCCC